AGGAAGAAGAGACAGGAAAAAAATGTGAAATAATATGAGGCTGGAAAAGACTTTAATGAAAGTTAGAATTACATGAGGATGGAGAAATCATTAACACAAGTCATATATGTGATGATGCAAATATTACAATCATATTCTAAATGATATATTTGTTCCCCAGAGATTTCTTTTCAAGTGAGTGCATTGGGTAGCATATTTTTTAGAAGAAAATAATGGGAAAGAAAATGCATTATCAGGAAAAGCTCTCAAATACCTGGCATACTTTCCACTTCCATAAAAAATAAAATAAAATTTTTTGAAAACTTGAATTATTCCCCCTTAGGAAACTAAATTGCAATTGGACAAGAAAGTTATAAGAACACACATATAAATACTCATGCTAAACAAAACAAAAAACTAGATTATGCCAACATGATACAAATAATTCCTAAAATAATAAGTGAATGAAATAGGCATGATTTACAGAACATGTGGAAGGAAGCAATCCATTCCTAGCAACCAGCTATAAAACCTCTGTATTCAAATGGAAGTTTTAGGAAGATTATAGAAAGCTAAGAATTTAAAGCAATAAGATTTTAAAATCCATGTTTGTCATGAGACAAAGCCTTAAGAGATGAGTAAGAAAACCAACAGACAATAAAAAGGGTTAAAGATAGCACCAGTTCAGGGATTATAAGTACAAGATACAGTCACACTACTTGTTTTCTCTATCTCTTTTTTAAGGTAAGAAGTAGATTTATTTAGAGAGAAACACATTCAACGGACAGAGGGCAGCCATCTCAGAAGGCATGAGGCCCCAAAATATGGGGTGATTCATCTTTATGGACTGGGTAATTTCAGGGCTTCCTGATGGCTCAGCAGATAAAGAATTTGCTGCAAAGAATCTGCCTGCAAAGCAAGAGACCTGGGTTTGATCCCTATGTCAGGAAGACCCCCTGGAGGAGGAAATAGCAACCCATTCCAGTTTTCTTGCCTCAAAAAAATCCCATGGACAGGGGAGCCTGGTGGGCTACAGTCCAAATGGTCATAAAGAGTCAGACAAAACACACACAATGAATAGGGGAATTTTTCCAACATTTTGGGGAAGGGGTAGGGATTTCCAGGAATTGGTCCAGTGCCCACTTTGTTTCCTTTTATGGTTAGCTTCAGAACTGTCATGATGCCTGTAGGTATGCCCTTTAGCTTATGCTAATGAATTATAATGAGCATATATAAGAGGCTCAAGGTCTACTGAAAGTTAAATCTTCCACTATCTTGGACCTAGTTGGTTCTAACTACATTTTTTTTTTCCAGTAATAGAACTATATATAGATGCCAAATCCCTACTATATATATGTTTTATTTTTAGTTGAAAATACACACACACACACCCACACGCATGCATCTTTCTGGGGACAGCCTCATTCAATGACCAAATTGACTTACTAAGAAAAAGGGAAGTAGAGTCTTTCTTTCGTTTTTTTCATAAATTTTTGAGGAAGCCATACTAAAATTCAAAAACAACTAGATGCCCAAGAATGATATGGGTCATGGTGCTCCATTAAACACCTTAACCCTTAGCCATTTTGAGTGGCTTTATACGAAAACAAACACAACTGTCAGGCTATAAATAATCTCAAAAACTGAGGGCCTGGTACAGATTAAAGTCTTGTTGCTGGAATTGGTTGAGCAAAGTGAAATAGTAACACTATTGTTTGGAAAAGTGCTGAGAGCAGTGATGCATCACGGGTAACTCGAAGAAGGGGTCAAGCATCTGATGTAATTAAACTACCAGGAGTAGGTAGGGAGAAATGCCCAGTGTTCTGTGGTCTCCTCCACTAGGAAACAATGGGGTCAACTTTAAGAATCAAATGTCGTGTGTAGTAGAAGCCTATGCGATCAGATGCAGAGGCCTATACTTTGTGCTAATCTGTGATAACACTGCACCAAAACCCAACTGAAATTCATGAAGACGGTGAAAATGAAGTCATCATTTCTGGAAATATGACTGTCAAAGTAAGGCTGCCAAAGGAACTCTCAGATGCCAAATATAAAACCTTGCCCACCTTAGGAAAAAAAAAATCAGTGGAAATTAATATCAATTTTTGTGTAAAATCTGAACATCACATATAATAACATATATGAATCACAAAAACATTACACTGGAAGAAAAACTGTTTTATACAAAGCATAACAAAATAGAATTTGAAATAATTCTTGAAAAAGAATATACAAAATATACTAGAGAAATGTCAGAGTAGTGGTTGACTTTAAAGAGTGGGTAGGGATCTATTGGAATGAACTTGAGGGAACCTTCTGGGAAAGAGTAATATTTTTCATCTTTTTAGAAAATAATTGTATCTATTTATTTGTTTATTTTTGGCTACACTGAGTCTTTGTTGCTATGAGCAGACTTTCTCTAGTTGCAGCAAGCAGGGGTTACTCTCTAGTTGTGGTGCAAGGCTTCTCATTGCGGTGCCTTCTCTTGTTGTGGAGCACAGGCTCTAGGGCAAGCGGGCTCAGTAGTGGTGGTACATGAGCTTAGTTGCTCTATGGCATGCGGAATCTTCCCCGACCAGCGATCAAACCTGTGTCGCCTACATTGGTAGGATTCTTAACCCCTGAACCACCAGTGAAGACCAATGCTCTTCATCTTGATCACAGTTTGCAGCAGACTGTATGATAAACTCACTGAATAGTAATACTAAAATTTGTGTATTTATTGTATGCAAATTGTACTTCAAAAGAACAAGAGAATTGTAAACAAATATTGAACTCTAGTTAGTGACATACATGCTATAGTACTCAGGAGGGAAGTGTACTGATATCTGGAAATTATTTTGAAATGTATAAAAAATAAGGTGTATCAAGGGTGGATAAAAGCATAAAAGACAGATATGTAATGGAGAAAATATACTCAAATGTTAATGGTACAATCTGGGTGACAAACATATCTATGCTTGCTATAAAATTCTATCACCAATTCTGTTTTTAAGTTTTCACATTATAACAGTGATATGGATGGCAGTGCTTAACTTTATTCTTGGGTTCAACAGCTTTTCAGGTTCTTCTTCAAAGGATAATGCTGATATATACTTCAGGGATATTTGGGGGAAATGTCTATAAGTTATGTATGATATTTGCATGTTTATACTAATAATTCAGTTATATTATTCACTGTCTTCTAAACAAGGTGAGTTGTAACATGGCATGTCAATGCTTCAGATGTTGCCCTTCAACAGTAGGTAATAAAACCATGTATTGTAGCACATGGGCTGTGTTGTTGTAAGCAATTATATAACTTTAAGGGAATCAAGTTGAAAACATAGGCAGAACACACTCTGACATAAATCACAGCAAGATATTTTTGATCTACCTCCTAGAATAATAAAAATAAAAGCAAAAATAAACAAATGGGACCTAATTAAACTTAAAAGCTTTTACAAAGCAAAGAAGCCAAAAAGAAGATGAAAGGCAATCCACAGAATGGGTGAAAATATTTGCAATGAAGTGACCCACAAGGGATTTGTCTCCAAAATATACAAACAACTCATGCAGCTCAATATCAAAAGAACAAACAACCCAATCAAAAAAATCAGTGGAAGATTTAAACAGATTTTCTCCAAAGAAGACTTCCAAATAGCCAAAAACACCTGAAAAGATGCTTAATATGATTAATTATCACTGTTATTCAGCCATTCATTTGTGTCCAACTCTTTTCAAACCCATGGACTGTAGTGCATCAGGCTTCTCTGTTCTTCACTATCTCCTGGAGTTTGCTCAAACTTATGTCCATTGAGTGGATGATGCCATCCAACCATCTCATCCTCTGTAGCCCCCACTCCTCCTGCCCTCAATCTTTCCCAGCACTAATTATTAGAGAAATGCAAATCAAAACACCAATGAGACATTACTTCACACCAATCAGAATAACCATCACTAAAAATTTTACGAACAATAAATCCTGGAGACGGTGTGGAGAAAAGGGAGCCCCGCTACACTGTTGGTGGGAAGGTAAATTGGTACAGCCACTACAGAGAATACTCTGGAGGTTCCTTTAAAAACTAAATATAGAACTACCATCTGCTCCTACAACCTCACTCCTTGCCATATATCAGAGAAAACCATAATTCAAAAAGGAAACTCTTTTTAAAAAATCTTCATGAAACTACATACCAGAGTAAGAAACTAAACTGTGAAAAGCTGTTCTGATCTGCTTTTTGGCTTAGAATGACCATCTAGGAAGGGAAATATTTAAAGAATAAAAGCATAGTAAAGTAAGTATGGAGGAGTGGAAGAAACCGACAAAAGGAGTTTTGACTTATTGAGGTATGCGGAAGTCATTGTGGCTTATGCATAAGTTAACTTGAATTTTATACTAAAGTGAAAGTGTTAGTTGTTCAGACATGTCTGACTCTTTGTGACCCCATGAACTGCAGCCTTCCAGGCTCCTCTGTCCATGGAATTATCCAAGAATGAATACTGAAACGGGTTGCCATTCCCTCATCAGGAGATCTTCCAGACCCAGGGATTGAACCCAAGTCTCCCACATTGCAGGCAGATTCTTTGCCATCTGAGCCATCAGGGAAACTAACACCTTATTTGTGACCTCTCAAATATACACTGTACATCTGCTTTAATTATTAAAGAAAAGGACACATTGATCAGAACTGAAGAATGTCCATGTTAAAAATAAAGATTAAATGCTCCCTTCTGGGGATGCCAATGCTGATCCTCCTTTGATGGTAAGACTCTCTTCCTAGGTGCCACAGCCACACTGACCCTCTGCATACATGCTGATCTTTTTTCTTTTTTTTGTGAATCCTTGAAAGAATGTTGGGCTTCCCTGGTGGCTCAGAGGGTAAAGCATCTGCCTGCAATGCGGGAGACCTGGGTTTGATCCCTTGGTTGGGAAGATCCCCTGGAGAAGGAAATGGCAACCCACTCTGGTACTCTTGCCTGGAAAATCCCATGGATGGAAAAGCCTGGTAGGCTACAGTCCATGGGGTCGCAAAGAGTCGGACACGACTAAGCGACTTCACTTCCACTTTGAAGGAATGTATCCCTGACTTGCTTGTTGTTCTTTGTTCTAACAAGATATGAAACAATGCTGAAAATCCTGCTTCTCCAGAGAAGTTATTGGAGAGTCTGTCTTCCAAATTATAGTCCTCAGTTTGCCTCAAATAAAGCTCTTTTTCTGCTCCTACTAGAGATTGTTTATTGATTATTTTCATCAATGGAAATGCTTGAACTAAGAACAAATACAGCACAGTTGGACCTCTGCACCCGTGGGTTTTGCATCTTCCAATTCAACTAAACATTAATTGAAAATATTTTTTAAAATCTAGAAATTTCTGAAAAGCAAATCTTGAATTTGCCACACCCAGGCAACTATCTACATAGCACTTACATTGTTCTGACAACAACTTACATAGTATTTACATTGTATTTGGTATAAATAACCTAGAGATGACTTATATGTACATCTGTTATATGTAAATAATACACCAAGGTTATTTTTTGTACATAAGCCATACATTTATACAAATATTGTAAAATATATGCAAATATTTTATATAAGGACTTTGACACATCTACACAGTTTGGCACCCACCAAGGATCCTGGAAGTAATCTCCTGTAAATATCAAGAGACGATTATATCTAATTCTTCTGTCATTATCATGTAGCTTCTGCTCTAGTGAAATAAGAACTTTGGTAAAGCATAACTTTTGCTCTTTGCATATAATTTTAGACCAAATCTTATTAAATAAACATAAAAAGGAGCTTATTGTATCTGTATGTGTAAAAGGTATAGAAGGTTTTAAGACCTAGAGAAGATGAACCACAGCTTGTCATCACTATTGTTTTAATAATTCTAAAGGCTTTGATACAATTAAAAGGAAATAAATACTAATTGTTTATTTTTGATTTTTTAAAAATACTATGCAACAGAACAACTTAAAGGAATGAACATTTCACAATTGAGACTTTAAAGCAAAATCCTTTTAAACCACATTGTCACCTATGGGTCTAATCAGCTATCTCAGAGTCACCATGTTACAAAATAAATTGGACTTTTGGGTAGTAATCAAGCTGAAAACTAATTTTGAAAAAATTATGGAACAATTCTATTTCTTGTGCAGTTATACTAATCTCTACATCTGGTTCTGTGTTCTATCACTTAACAATATACTTTGACAATTTTATAGACAAAAAAAGCAATACATATATCAGTGACAATAGTGTAAGTTTACATAAGACAACTGTTTAATGTCCAACACAGTCTAACCTTGTCTCGTTAACTTATCTCATGGTGTAATTCAGAAAATATTTAAGGCAATGTCTCCTAAAGTGCATTGGCATATATATTCTAAGTATTATCACAGTGTTATTTCATGAAAAGTCATCTAAATCAAAGTATACCCACTCAACAAAATTATAGTACATTTATAAAATAGCATTGCAGTATATTTTGAGACCATTCCATTTTTACTAGAGGTGTTTATTTACATATTTTCTCTATAGACCAAGAAAGTAACCATTGGCGATTCTATCAAGGTGTAGAATTAGATAAGAGTAATGCTCATCTTTTCTGTGAATTTACAGAATAAATAAGGTGATTCCATTTTTTAATTCTTATTGGAGCATAACTGCTTTACAACTATAGGTCACCAGAGAGCACTGAGTTCCCTGTGCTAGATAGTAGGTTCTCATTAGTTATCTATATTATACATGGTAGTGTATATAGGTCAATCCCAATCTCCCAGTCCATCCCACTCCCCTTTTCCACCCATCTTGGGGTCCACAGGTTTGTTCTCTACATCTGTGTCTCTAGGTTTGATAATAGGTTTTGCAAGTAGGTTCATCTGGACCATTTTTCTAGATTCCACATATATGTATCAAAAAATAATGTGATTCTTACAAATGTAAGTCTGTTTAATTCCACAGCTTTCACTTAAATAAACTTCTCTCGATTTGTAAGATAGACAGTTTTGTCTTAATGTAGGTGTAGAAAGAGAAAACCTAAAACAGAAGAAATGGCATAGTTTTTGTGAAATTCTATAACAAGTAAATACCAGAGAGAAGAAATATAAAACTTTCATTTTATGTATAAATACTTAAAACACAATGTACATATAATTGAATCAAATTGAATTTCTATCAGTAGCACAGATAACTAAGATTTTTACAAATTGAAAATTTATTGATAGAATTACAGAACTTTAAATATTTCATAAAAACTCACATAAGGATGTAAGCGTCTGAGAGGATGGAGAGCAGGCTGATTATCATTGCTTATAGAAGTAGGCAGACAATTTAAAAACAAAAGTGTGAAAAGCCTATGAATAACAGGTACCATCACATTTTTCCGGTGAGGACAATAAATATTTTTAGTGTCCATAGTGTTTAGGCAGATGGTGGGTAGAATGTAAAAATCCAGGGAGATTTTAAAGATATATTAATGACCTGAAAGTTGGGTCTTATAGAGCACTGTGGTTAGTGAGGAAGTAAGAAGATTTTAACCCATGGTTTGTGTTATGAGCTGAATTGTGTCCCATTAAAATGCATACATTGGGATCCTACCCTCCGTTACCCTAGAATATGAGTGTAGTTAATTAATTCTTTCAAGTGTAATTAATTCTTTCAAGAATTAATTCAGTTAAAAGAGGTCATTAGGGTGGGCCCTAACCGAATATTGCTGCTGTCCTTACAAGAGGAAATTTGCTCATCAACAGGCATAGGGGGAAGACCACCTATAGACCCAAAGAGTCGACAGTCAAGGAGAGAGGCCTCCGAAGAAACCAAAGTGCCAGCACCTTGGCCTGGGACTTCTATCCACTGCAGTCAAGAAAATAAATTTCCGCTATTTAAGCTACTCCATCTGTAGTGCTTTGTTATGAGAGCCCCAGCAAACTGAGATGATGTGTAAGAAAAATTCTCAGGAGAGAATTTATTAAGGAACTGAGCTATATTATCTGCTTCTGGAGGCTATAATTCTGGACATGGGATTGGATTTAAATTACTGTCTCTTTTCCCAATTCCCTAAATGTCCTTGAAATTGTGTCTCGGGCACCCTTTATTTCTATTATTTTGGGCAAATGCAGCAATTAAACCAAGGGCAAAGAAGGCTGTACTATGTCAGACAGAAACTTACATATCAGAAGGCAGAAGTGAATCATTTTCCCACAGCCAGTGCCTGCCAGTTTCATTATAGTAGACTCCAATCCAAAAGAAAGATTTTAAGGAAAAGAAATGCTGGTGATAAACAAATACATGCAAATACAAAGTTCTCATTATTATCTTTTCATCAACTGCATGAGAGTCCTCAAAAAAAATTCAACACCGTGTTTACCTTTATTCATTTCATCCCATCCACAACCTCATTATTATATGCTATATTCCAAGACCAGTTTGAGATTTAGCTAATGATACAGCAAGAAACAACACAAATTCCCAGTTCTCATGGGAGACACGGAAAATAAATAAATATGAGCAAAAATATAGTGTGGGTTTGGTGAATAAGGGAGTAAGATTTTTTAAAAAGGCATCAAGGTCTATAAGCAAGACCTTTATAGATGTCTTGAAGATTAATTTTACCCCCAATGTCTAATTCCTGTCTCTTCAGGTGAAGAATGGAGAGAACATCCTCTATCAGAAGAATTCTTACAGTGGATGCTTTAACTCGATGCTGATGTCCATTGGCAGAGTGAGGGAAAGCTCTTCCAATCTCCTCGCATCCTGTTCTAGATTATGAGGCATTGCTCACACAATGCCATTAACTTTTGGACCACAAAGGCTATACTTTCTGGTTGTTGGACTATATACCAGGTTCTCTTTTCTCTGATTGGGATAGTTATTGTAATAACTGTCTCCTTCAAAATTCATTCAATATGCATATTTTCTAAATGTCTTTTTTTGAGGAGGGTAGAATTCACCTGCAGAGAAGGCAATGGCACCCCACTCCAGTACTCTTGCCTGGAAAATCCCATGGACGGAGGAGCCTGGTAGGCTGCNGAAACATCCCACCCTCGCCTTCTCCCATAGAGTCCAAAATTCTGTTCTGTACATCTATAAAATATACTATTTGAACTATATTTAACTGTACAGTTCATGATGGCAGTAAGTACAGTCACATTGTTATGAAACTCTCAACCATCACCTGTCTCCAGACTTTTTCACCTTCCTAAGCCAAAACTTTGTCCCCACCACACACTAACTCCCCATCGCCCCTCCCCAGCAATGCACTCCCCTGCCACTAGCATCTACCAGTGTGCTTTCTGACTGTGAGTTTGACTATTCTAGGTACCTTGTATAAGGGGAATCTAACAATACCTGTCTGTACATGAAGGTCTTTATACCTATTATTTCAAAACATCTCTCCCCTTTACATAAAAGCTAGATTCGGTGGCACATTTTGCATATGAAAATGTAAACAAAAGATAAACTAGTCATACCCTGAAGAGTATGTCTGAAATGGCTGAAGCCATTTGTCTAGTGCTGAGGTCAGGTAAATGCAATGACTCTCAGCTTAATCCACTCAATCAACTTCACATATTTCACATACCATTATGAGGCTCTGTTTCACAACTTACCATCTCCTCCTTGTTTATCTTGATGAGACTGGAATTTAGAGATGAACAGGCACTTTGACTCTCTCTCCAAGTTAGCTCTTCCTTGGAAAAGTAGTAACAGCTACACCTGAACCAAATCCAATTCTCTGGACAAGAATGACACTGAGGTCCAAGACACAGGTTCTCTATGATTGCATTGTGAAAAAATAATCACAAAGCCTGACTTTATTATTTCTTAAATGCACCTTGTAAACAGAAGTACACTTTTGTCATTAGAGTAACATTTCATAAACACAAAAATTACTCATAATAAAATTATTAATTAGAATGAAAAATTTTCTTTCTCTCTCACTTCTGAGACATGTTGGACACTTCATATATCATATGACACTGGTGACCTACAGTCTATTCATGTTCTTATCTCCATACTTTGATACTACAGCATCTCAGGGCTAGAATGTCTTCACATTACATCTCCATTAGATTAATGTTTGTTAATATTTTGCCCCTGTAATATAAACTCTACTTCTCCAAAATTTGTTCTCATTACAGGTATTTCTATTCCCCTAAAAACATATGAAGTTTTACAACAATTTCTTAAAAATCCCCAGGAAACCCCCTGAAAACCTTACCCCTGTCTTCCTATATTTCAGTTAATTATACACAAACCTCAGTTTCACAAGACTGTAAGTTATTTGATGGCTGGAATTATGTCTTATATTTTCTATTATACACACTAGAGTAACTTGCCCAGAGAAATCTCCATGTGTGTGGATAGATAGTGATAATGATCGTTACTTAATCATGTCTGACTCTTTGCGACCCCATGAACCCCATGACCCCATGAAGCCCCCCAGACTCCTTTGTCCATGGAATTCTTCAAGGCAAGAATACTGGAGTGGGTAGCCATTGACTTCTCCAGAGGATCTTCCCTACCCAGTGATAGAACCTGGGTCTCTGACCAGCACAATAATGCTTTTAAATCAGTTTAAGAAATCAGTCTGTAAAACCTACCTTTCTGCTGGATTTTGAGAGGTGGTTTTTTGGAAGACGCTGCAAAAACAATCAAATATCATGAGTAGATCTTATTTTAAATTGAAACATCAAAAATGAGATACTCAAAGACTATATTTCAGAAAAATAAACAGCAATTTTCAAGAAAATAAAAAAGGAAGAATTTTGGTAAGCTAATTATTCTCAGCCTGTTTTGGCTTATCATATTCTATGAAATTAGACAGTGTTCCTGAGGGGAAGACAATTTGGAAGTTTCTGTATTCACTTACAGTTTGCAGTAACAACAGCTACCACAATGGCCGTGGCCATTAGGAGAAGGCACAAGACACCCAGCATGCTAGAAATGAGTCTCCATGGAAGAGGCAAGACATCTCCTGAGAGGATTGAAGACACAAGCAGAATCAAAATGAGATGAAGCAAGATGATTGGACAAATAAACACAATGTTTAAGGAGTAGTTTACAAGTTTTCTGGCCTGGTGCTCTGGGAAGACTCAGAGGGATTAGGTAGAGAGGGAGGTGGGAGGGGGGATCGGGATGGGGAATACATGTAAATCCATGGCTGATTCATGTCAATGTATGACAAAACCCACTACAATATTGTAAAGTAATTAGCCTCCAACTAATAAAAATAAGTGAAAAAAAAATAAATAAATTTAAAAAATAAATAAAGTGAAATCATCTCTTACCACAAAAAAAAAAAAAGAACACATCAAATACATGTCAATTCTTGATTCTCACAATAGGCCTGCAAAATATTTTCAAACAATTTTAGATAATACTGAAATAGAAGTTTGAAAGCAATCTCATTTTTTACATAAGCTTTTTGTCTAAGATAACACAATCAATTCACAGCAAAACAGAGCCCCTAATTCACTAATGCTGCCTCCAAAGCTTACCATAATTCTTCTCCCCCCCCCCAAAAAAGAAAAGAAAGATAAGCTGAGCAAGAAAACTGCAGAATGCCAATTGATTCATTTAGGTACTGAGCAGTTTTCCAACATGAAAAGATAAAACAGTCTACTAGAGCAGGAAGTCAACAAATACCATTTGTTTATTCTTCTCTCACATATTAAGGTTTGTAGTGTTTCATGCAAGTATAGAACCAGTGATGGTGTTATGGAGAGAATAAGAAGCTAGGGACTTCTCTGATGTCCCAGTGGTTAAGACTTTGCCTCCTAATACAGGGGCTATGGGTTTGAGCCCTGGTTGGGGAGTTGAGATCCCACATACCTCAGGTCCAAAAAGCCAAAACATAAAACAGACATAATATTATAACAAATTCAATAAAGACTTAAAAATGGTCCACATCAGAAAAAAAAAAATCTTTAAAAAAAAAAAAAGCTGCCAGCATCCTCAACGGACCTGTACTTCACCAGTTGGAGGATCAGAAGCAATAAAATGCAGACTTATTTTTGTCGTTCAACTCGGGGACATTTAATAAGCAATAAAATAATTTTTGAGTATCACCTTTATCTTTCCTATCAACTTCTTTCCCCCCACTGAATTTCTTCCCCAATATTATTGTCACGCATCTCTTACACTCTCTTCATTCGTTATCACCACCACACGTTAATCACCCAACTTAGACCTAGTGATGGGTCAACTGAGTGATTGCACTGATGCCAACTGCTCATTTTCCATTTTATACACCTTGTGTACTGTTACAGATATCTGATGAAGGAAGTCAAACAGCTTGCTACTAATTCACATCAGGATCCCAAACTTCACCTGGATTCTCAGTGACACTTGACAATGATTTACCCCATCTATTTCGTGCTCCAAATTTAAAAGAAATAACCTTTATGTTCTGCTTATGTAAATAGTTACATCAAAGATTATGGGGCAAAGTATACCACACTCTAGTCCATAAATCAATGTCAAAAATATTTATTTCTCACACTATACAACTTCTGGCTTCCAATCAAGGTATCTAACTCAATCCTCTCAAACACCCACAGCTAGTCATTGTCCTTTGTTTACCATTGTTGTCTCAAGGGAATGACTTTCCAACGCTTTTCTATTCAAATTATATTCTTCCTCTAAAGTCTAAATAAACTCCCACTTTAGCAGTGAGATTTCTAAACTATCCAAGGTATCTTTTAAATTATTTGCAGTATTTTACATTTGGCCTTTAGCATTATCTGCGCTAAAGTAACATTTACATTTTTGCTTGTACATTTTCATTTTTTAACTATAGAAACTATTGTATTTTTGAATCCCCCTAGTGCATAGCATGTCAGTATATAACTTTAGGCATTCTCTACATGTTTATGAATACTGTTTTAATGTAGCTTACCTTCATCATTGACATCTTCTGCTATATTTTTGAGCTGTCTTTTACAAGGCTTCTGGTGTTTCAGCTTCTTCTTGGTTAATGGCAATTCATTTGGATCCAATTTATGCTTAATATTTTTTGGTGTATGCCTCTGCTGAAAATCCTGGTTTAGAGTAGTAATACTATAAATTATGGGTTCTTCATCCATCTTTATATAGGAAAAAACTGTAAGGGATAAAGTGCTCAAATATCAGTATATCCTTCTATAATTTGGGAAGGCATATTATAATATAGAAAAATGAAACAATAATATAAACTCTGAGTTGTGGGGAATTCCCCAACAGTCCAGTGGTTAGGACTCTTTACTTGCACTGCTGAGTTCACGGGTTCAATCCCTGGTGAGGGAACTAAGATCCTGCAAGCCACATGACATGGCCAAAATAAAATAAAATGAAATAAAATATGAGTTGATAAATAGATACATCTATTACACTTCCCAGAAGCATGTTCTCAACAGTTTGAAGCCCTGAGTACAGGAAAAAAATGTCACCAAGAACAGAGAAGTAAAGGAAATAGAACCCTACAAAAGTTAAGCTCTCTTTAACCAATTCTTACATAGAAAGCAATCATTGCTTTTAGTACAGAATTTAAAAATTCTAGGTCTGCAATGAAGTCACCCAAAAATTCCAAGCCTATTTCTAACATAGTTGCAGTTTACCTCATGAAACTGAATAGTAAAAGACAGAGTTGGTGTTCTGCTATTATTAGAAATTGAAATATGTTTATTATCTGTGATTCTCGGAGGCAGTGCACAATTTACGATTAAAGCACAAAGTTAACCATTTCACTTTTCCTAAGTGACTCTATGATTAACAACATGACTTATGAACAATATCTTCTGTATTATTTTGTAACTGAAATAAGACACCCCATAAGTGGACTTAATAGCTTGTTTCTATGTTTTATATAAATTCTCTTTATTGTTAAAAAATAAACAAAATAGGTTAAGTATCCAAAAAGCTAAACTTCAAAAGTGTGAAGAATTTTGTTGTAAACATGGGCTATCAGATTCAGTGTGGGCAAAACACTAAACAGGATGAAGTCCCTTATTTGTCAGGGTTCTAAATACCTTCAGTTTAAACTTCTCAGAGAAACTTTATTTAAAAAAGATTACTGGACATACATCAAAGACTTGAAAAGAACATAATCAAATAAAGCAAAATGCAATATGTTGAAGCAAAAAAAATATTATACTTAAAGTTTAAATTTATTTAAAATGTTTAAAACTAGAAACTGCACAAAGAAGAACTGTCTAGTGGTGACATCTTTCAGGAATTAGAGGAGGAGGGATTACAAAAGAGCCAGAAACAGTAACACATACCTGAAATGAGGAGGGAATTCCTTGTGCTATGAATTAGTCTGTGTAAGTCTGAGGAAGCAGGACCTGGTAAGCTGGCACAGAATCAGAAACTGTGCCTCCGTAGAAAAACTACTTGTGCAAGGTTTCATAATAACCAACAGGAAGCTTTATTCTTTTTTTTTTTCTGCATTTGTCCTTAGCACCCACAATATGGGTGAGACAATCTTATTTCTTGTAACTTAAGCCAAAGTTACAAGAAAATATTACATGCACTTTATTCTCAGCCATACTAAATAATAGTTTTTGTGAACTGAAAAGAAAACATTGCTCCTTTATATTATTTACTACACTGCATTATAATTGATGTTTGTGTATCAGTCATTCCACTGGACTGAAGTCCTGAGAAATACCATATATTTTGATAATTTTACCTCTAGATAATTTTATGTTTATGAAACCATAGTAGACATAAAATTCATCTATAGTGGATAAAGAAATTCCTTGCAATTTCTTCATTCAGGCTACATAGACGACTTTGTACTGACATCTTTCCTATCAGAGATTTCTCTTCACACATTCACATATACAGAGAAATTTAAAAAGGTAGGAACAATGTGTAAGTTAGGGGAGAAAATGATCTTTAAATAAATCTCAAGGTAATCACAATATTGGTGCTCTCAATGACACTATGATAATAAAATGAAGTTTATTATATCAAAAAGTATCACAAAATCCTAAACTAAACAAAGGGAGAGTGAGCTATTTTTTAAGTCAATATATGCTCTAGGATTCTTGCCTGAAGAATCCCATGGACAGAGGAGCCTGGCAGGCTATAGCCCACGGGCTCACATAGAGTCGGACACGACATAGGGACTATTCCACCACCACCACCGTGCTCCTTAATGGACAGAACACGGGGAAAGAAAAACACTAGGAAATAAGGCACATCATGGAAGCATGCCAAAATTCCTCAAACTCCTCTGCTTATGACAAAATTGACAATATACCCCAAAAGTTATGTTTTGGCTCAATGAAGATGGGTAGATAGTATGCAGTCAAGTGCCATATACAGCAAGTAATGATTAAATAATCAACACACATGTAATATGTGCATGCCTGTTTACAAAGCTAAATTTAACCAGAAAGCTACAAAATGGCTAGGGTAAATTACATAAAAAAATACTTCCTGTATGCTTATCTCTCTGAAGTGAGACAAGCCTTTTTTAGGCTATTAGCTCTTTTTTTAAAATTTTATTTACTTCTTTATTTTAGGCTGCAGTGGATCTTTGTTTCTGCACACAGGCTTTCTCTAGCTATGGTGAGTGGGGGCTACTCTTGCTTGCGGTGCCCAGGCCTCTTATTGCGGTGGCATCTCGTTGCTGAGCACAGGCTCTAGGGCAACCAGGCTTTACCAGCTGTGGCTCGTGGGCTCTAGAGCGCAGGCTCAGTAGTTGTGGCCAATGGGCTTAGTTTCTCCCATGTATGTGGGGTCATCCCAGACAAGGGATCGAACCCGTCTCCCCTGAATTGACAGATGGATTCTTAACTAATAGACCAACAGGGAAGCCCTGTTACCAGTCTTTTCCCCATGCTCAGCCACTGGCCCAGGATTCAGTATCTAATCTCCCGATACTAAAGAAATATCTTTAGGTCTTTGGGGTCTTTCTTATTAAACTATTAATAAATCAGTTAAGTACCTAGCCACAACAAAAACCAGCATAAGGTAACAGGAAAAACTTTGGTGAACATCAGGCTTCCCAGTCAAGACTTGCAGAATTCCTGAGTTTCTAGAACAATTTAGTAATAATTAAGTGACTGCCCAAGAAAAGTGGAGGATGGGGGGTGCAGTGGGAGGGAAATCCAAGAGGGAGGGCATATGTGTGTGCATATAGCCAAAGAATTGATCCTTTTGAACTGTGGTGTTGGAGAAGACACTTGACAGTCCCTTGGACTGCAAGGAGAGCCAACCAGTCAATTCTAAAGGAAATCAGTCTTGAATATTCATTGGAAGGACTGGATGCTGAAGATGAAACTCCAATACTTTGGCCACCTGATGTGAAGAACTGACTCATTGGAAAAGACCCTGATGCTGGGAAAGATTGAAGGCAGGAGGAGAAGGGGACGACAGAGAATGAGTTGGTTGGATGGCATCACTGACTCAATGGACATGAGTTTGAGAAAGCTCTGGGAGTTGGTGATGGACAGGGAAGCCTGGAGTGCTGCAGTCCATGGGGTTGCAAAGAGTCAGACACAACTGAGCAACTGAACTGAAATGAACTGATAGCTGATTTACTTTATTGTACAGCAGAACTAACACAACATTGTGAAGCAATTATCCTCTAAAAAAAAAATTAAAATAATTGTAATTTTTTTAAAAAGCTTTCAAAGTCTGACTGAGTAGATGGATGAGCTGGAAAAATCACAGGTCAGAGACGGCAAACACCATCTTCAACCTAGGTTGTTATCCTTCTTCAGATCAGAGTCACACAAGCCTTCTTTTTTTTTTTTAGAGTCACACAATCCTAATGAAAGGAAGGTCACAGTAACCATAGGTTAAGGTTGAAACATCATGCTAATTTAGACCCTAAATGGGCTGGCTTTGTCTCATTTCACCAAATTTCAATTCATCACTTTGTTAAATTAATGTTGTATGTTCAATTATTTAGGTTACATGGTTCAGGTTCTGTGATATGTGTTCCACATATATAAATTTTTAAGTTAGTGATGAACTTTTTTTCTTATATATCTTAATAGGTGTATCTATCATTTTACTTTCTTCAGTTCAGCTCAGTTCAGTGGCTCAGTCATGTCCGACTCTTTGCGACCCCATGAATCGCAGCACGCCAGGCCTCCCTGTCCATCACCAACTCCCGGAGCTTACTCAAACTCATGCCCATCGAGTACGTGATGCCATCCAGCCATCTCATCCTCTGTCATCCCCTTCTCCTCCTGCCCCCAATCCCTCCCAGCATCAGCATCTTTTCCAATGAGTCAACTCTTCTCATGAGGTGGCTAAAGTACTGGAGTTTCAGCTTCAGCATCAAGTCCTTCCAATGAACACCCAGGACTGATCTCCTTTAGGATGGACTGGTTGGATCTCCTTGCAGTCCAAGGGACTCTCAAGAGTCTTCTCCAACACCACAGTTCAAAAGCATCAATTTTTCGGCGCTCAGCTTTCTTCACAGTCCAACTCTCACATCCATACATGACCACTGGAAAAACCATAGCCTTGACTAGACGGACCTTTGTTGGCAAAGTAATGTCTCTGCTTTTTAATATGCTATCTAGGTTGGTCATAACTTTCCTTCCAAGGAGTAAGCGTCTTTTAATTTCATGGCTGCAGTCACCATCTGCAGTGATTTTGGAGCCCAGAAAAATAAAGTCTGACACTGTTTCCACTGTCTCCCCATCTATTTCCCATGAGGTGATGGGACCAGATGCCATGATCTTAGTTTTCTGAATGTTGAGCTTTAAGCCAACTTTTTTACTCTCCTCTTTCACTTTCATCAGGAGGCTTTTTAGTTCCTCTTCACTTTCTGCCATAAGGGTGGTGTCATCTGCATATCTGAGGTTATTGATATTTCTCCCAGCAATCTTGATTCCAGCTTGTGCTTCTTCCAGCCCAGCGTTTCTCATGATGTACTCTGCATAGAAGTTAAATAAGCAGGGTGACAATATACAGCCTTGAAATAAGATCATATGCTTATTTCAAGTTCAAGTCCTGAACTTCTGAAAAGTTCAAGAGTTTGAACTTTTACTACTTGCTTCTCTTTATTTATATATAGAAAATTTAAAGGAGAGAGGCTCCCTCTAAAGAGATACTGTTATTCATGTACTAGTTATTGAGTGCCTAATGGTATATGACCTGATAAAGAGTAGACACACAGTGGGCTTCCCTGGTGGCTCAATCTGCCTGCAATGAGGGAGACCTAGGTTCCATCCCTGGGTTGGGAAGATCCCCTGGAGGAGGGCATGGCAACCCACTCCAGTACTCTCGCCTGGATAATTCTATGGACAGGGGAGCCTGGCAGGTTACAGTCCATGGGATCAGCAAGAGTTAGACACGACTGAGAGACTTATACATACACACGTACACACATTAAATATTTAAGTGACAAAATTATGGAATAATTAAAAAACAGACATGGTCTCTGTTGGTCTCATGATCTCCATGGTCCCTGAACTCATGGAGATTATATTCTTCCTAATAAGAGAAATGTTAAAATCTAAGTAAAAAGGCAAATTAAAAATGCAAGTTCCAGACTTCCCTGGTGGTGCAGCAGATAAAAGTCTGCTTGCCAATTCAGGGGACATGGGTTCAATCCCTGGTCCAGGAAAATCCCCCACGCCACTGCACAACCAAACTGGGGCATCACAACTACTCAGCCCAGGCTCCTAGAGTCTGCGCTCTGCAACAAGAGAAGCCCAGGAACCACAACAAAGAGTAGGCGCGGATTGCTGCAATTAGGGGAAGCCCGCGCGAAGCCATGAAGCCAAAAATAAAATTAAAAATACAAACAGACATGGTCCCTGTTGGTCTCATGATTTCCATGGTCTCTGGACTCATGGAGATTATACTCTTTCTAATAAGAGAAATATTAAAATCTAAGTAAAAAGGCAAATTAAAAATGCAAGTTCCAGACTTCCCTGGTGGTGCAGCAGATAAAATTCTGCTTGCCAATTCAGGGGACATGGGTTCAATACCTGGTGCAGGAAGATCCCCCACGCCACTGCACAACCAAACCGGGGCATCACAACTACTCAGCCCAGGCTCCTAGAGTCTGCGCTCTGCAACAAGAGAAGCCCAAGAACCACAACAAAGAGTAGGCGCGGAGTGCTGCAATTAGGGGAAGCCCGCACGAAGCCATGAAGCCAAAAAATAAAATTAAAAATACAAGTTTCAATTCGTGTTACAAATGAAACAAAAAAGGGTTTGAGATTCAGAGCAGTAGTGAAGGGGGCCTATAATCTCTAACGTGGCGATCAGAGATTATAAAACTTAAGTGAAAACAAAGAATGAGCTGGACATACAGAGTGAAGGAAGGAGCAATTCAACAGAACATGCGAGCATGCACACAGCCCTCAAAGAGGAAACTGCTTAGTGTAGTTCCCAAAAGAGATAAAGGACCGGTGTGGTTCAAGATTAATTAGTGAGAGGGCAGTTGACAAGCAGTGGCTGAGCCTGCAGAGATAAGCTGAGGACTACTGTATATGTGTGTGTGTGTGTGTGTGTGTGTGTGTGTGTATAAAATCTCTTTAGATCTGAACATTATAAACAAACTCAAGAGTGTATTTTCCTAGCTACAGAAGTTCTTTTTTGCTGTTTGCCTTTTCTCTATTTTAAGGAAGTACCAAAATGTAGTTCTAGTCTTTTATTCTTGAAAGCTTGCGTGCATGCATGCTAAGTCACCTCAGTCGTGTTCAAGTCTTTGCGACCCCATGGACTGTAACCCACCAGGCTCCTCTGTCCATGTGATTCTCCAGACAAGAACA